GCAAATAAAGAATTTAAATTGAAGAAAAATGGATAAGGTCAAATTGTATTCTCAGGACCCAAGTGTGCCATTATTAGCATGTTCCATCGTCTCTAGCATTCATTTTGGATTTATGCAAATGAGGTATTTATGCAAATGATAAATTTAACAAACATGCGAGTTAATATTTATTTTGGGGGCCTCAATACTCAATTTGCATATTATACAGCAGTTGAAATTTCCATCTTGATGCAGAGATATTATCATAATAGCATGCGTGATCGTCATTGCGTCCATTTTGGATTTATGCAAATGAGGTATTTATGCAAATGATGAATTTAACAAACATGGGGATTAACATTTATTTTGGGGGCCTCAATACACAATTTGCATATTATACAGCAGTTGAAATTTCCATCTTGATGCGGAGATATCATCATAATAGCTTGCTTGATCGTCATTGGCAGCCATTTTGGATTTATGCAAATTAGAAAAAATGCTCAAGGGTGCAAACTGGGCACCCATTAGAATTTTGAAGCAGACATACTGGAGAACATATTTCAGCCAAAAAACCTAAGTCATACGCACTTTTACGCTTTTCCCAAAAAAACTGGGGCTGGCAACCTGACTATCTCTTTAGAAAAGAAACTTCAACCAATTTTTCGCGATTGTTACTTGACACCCATAAAAAAAAAGATGGCGACTTACATGGCGCCTATCCCACTGGTATTTTTTGCCCGTATCCAAGAAACCAGCAATTGTCCTTTCTGTGAAGAACACGATGATTCGCTCCATATTTCTCTGGACTGTAGCCGACTAAAACGACTCAGTCTTTGTCATTTTCAAATCTATTGATTGTACATTACTTGATGTAGATAGTATACCAAACTTCTACTACTTTCTTTGTCTGCTAAGACGTCAAGCAATAACACAAACACAACGTATTCTGTGTTACCTTTGTGTCTCGGTGAAAACTGCAATTCACATTAAAAGATACAAGACAATTAATGATGATTCTGATGTCTGTGCAGCACAATGTTTCACTACTCGCCTAAAACACAGAATTAAGAAAGAATACGATTACCATATGCTTGACAAGTCACTGGATGTCTTTGAATTTCAATGGCACAGAAATGGCGCTGTGGCAATACTGAATGGAGAGATACTACGCTTCCCAGATGTACTGGATACTGGCTGAGAAAATGAGAGAAACAATCTGCTATTAATAATATCGTTACATCATGCTCGTATTTAACCTTTTTTATACTATTGTGATTTTACAAATAATCTTGTTATTGTATACTCGAGAAATAAAAATCGGAAATGAATGAATGAATGAAAGTCTCATCCACATAGATTGATCGGTTCATCATACTCACTAATATTTCTGTTAATCTGTCCATATATGCAGCATTGTAGTGACCTCTGCACATGTCAAACCACACTGTACAGAGTTCAATCACAGTGGTCGGTTTCGACTATTTTCAATTGTATTTATAATGTAACTTAATCGATATTTGCTAGAACCAAAGTGTTTTTAATTAATTTCACAATTTTGCCAGTTTCTTAGAACAACATTTGAAACATTGCACTGCATGCCCATACGGAGATGCATTGGTAAAATTTCTGAAACTGACACCCAGCCACCATACAGAAATACTACTACCGCACTGACAAACACACTAATCCAGGCTGCCCTCTACGTTCTCATTTTGTGTGGTGGACAATGAAGCAACCATCGACGGCAGAGGGCGGATGTTATGGACAAGACCCACATAGTGTACATGATTATCTGAAATAAATTTGTTCTCAGTGGATATCATATGGGCAACCATCGCACCGACGTTTTGGATCCGAACGGACATAGATGCAGGTTTGTATGTTGGTTAGTTCGGCGGGAAATGCGACGTTTGGGTGTCGTTTTATCTCGCGTATATGAACTGCGACAGAAAAAGCAGTTATTTATAACAGCATGCAGTAAAAACGGGTATTATTGAAAAAGATGACCTAATTAACACATCGAAAGGTCAAGCTCAGTCTATCGCTGTTGATTTATTGCCGAGTATCGTGATAAAATCGCACAGGCCATTAAATCTGATTAAAAACAAAATGCTACCCAAAAATATGGAAATTCCATTATCGCAGTATGATAAACTTGAGTTAACCCCAGGTAACTAATAAACAGACTGGCAACGCGGCGTTATATGGGTTAGTTCTGTGAGAAATGCGACGTCTGGGTGTCGTTTTACCTCGTGTGTATGAACTGCGATAGAAAAAGCAGTTATTTATAACAGCATGCAGTAAAAACGGGTATTATTGAAAAAATGACCTAATTAACACATCGAAAGGTCAAGCTCAGTCTATCGCTGTTGATTTATTGCCGAGTATCGTGATAAAATGGCACAGGCCATTAAATCCGGTTGCTGAATGGGAAAAATCACAGGATTAAAAACAAAATGCTACCCAAAAATATGGAAATTCCATTATCGCAGTATGATAAACTTGACGCAATGACCCCGGGACCCGCCGTAGGCGGCAGTATTTTCATGCGAGGTCAATAATGGATCACCAGGTCATTCCTAAACGCGTAATTAGGACTGAGACGAGAATCAATTTTGGGTGCCAGAAATCAACCAAAGACGCTTATTTGGGTATAATTTGCGCTGTCAAGACAAAGTTCAGGTTAATAAAGTAAGGAAAACACATTAGAAAGTGATGATGTTTGTTTTGATATGATGAGTCAGGCATGGCAACAGATTGAATGTTGTGGATCAAAATCCCACCCATTGAGTGAATGCAAACTACACTTTGGCTATGACAAGTGTGACAGTGTTGTGAGTCCACGAGGCAGATGGAAAGCTGCTCGTGATATGTGGAAAACAGCTGGTGTTAATGGCTTTGTACTTGAAGTAATTGATCAGGGATACAAACTCCCACTAAAAGAATTTCCATCTAACAAAGAGTTAAG